GAGGTAGTGAAGTCAAAGGGGTAGAGTTCAGGACCTGGAAGGAGACTTCCAGCTGGTAGGATAGAAAGGAAATGCAGGGAGGAAGGGACCACAGGATCTGTAAATAGCTGGACCCAATGAAAGCACTGAAACTGAAGAGGAGAGATTATGGGCCCCCACACTAAGGGGGAAGAAGTGCTGACCTACTACACTGCTTGTGGAGAAAGGAAGTCTCAAGCTGCAGCTGTAATTACCTTAAGCTGAGAGACTGACAAACCAGGAACCTCTGCAAGCAGGGTTACTGAATGACGAAAATCAGGACGTGGCCAGTAAAATGGATTGCTGAAAGCAGCTGTGATTTGGCCTGAAATTTGGTTTGAAAAAGTTCACTGGAGCTATGTTGCTTAGTCAAGATGCTCCAACAGAAAACAAGCCAATTTCTTCCAGTTACAGAGTCTACCCTGTTGTGTCCCCCCTTTTCAGCAAGGATTTGTTCAGCTTCTCCAGAAGCATCTTCTCACACTCACCCTCTTGTATCTTCTAATGTCTGTAGCTTGGTAAACAGTTTCACTCCCTTGCAGCCCCTGAGTTTTCCAGCGCCTTGTAGCCTGGACCTGGGCGGCAGCGCAACACTCAGTTGCAAGTCTTTTTCTGTTTCTCCTGTTTGTGGGTTTTTTTTGTGCAAGGTCCCTCCGAAGACACTTTGCCTCATATCACGCAGCCTTACTATTCTCGTTTTGCACAACCTTTCCCACTGGCCTGTAGTGGGCATTTTCCAACCACATTTCTGTGGGTCAAGATGGAGTTTGTAGCACTGGGTTTGTCTCAGGTTCAGCCCCATGACCAGCCTGCAGGCAGTCTGTGCAGTTACCCTAGAAACAACCACTTACCAGTCTAAGTGGAGTCTTCAAGCCCACTTTAACTCCAGCACCAGCTTTCTTTACAAGCAGAAGGGAATATTGCAGCCTACTGTCCATAAGCGTAATGCTAGCAGCTCTAGAAATGCAACTGAGGCAACCCTAGTCCATGTGCAGCCTGCACTGCCGTCAGGGAGAACCTGAATGAAACAGCAGAGCTGAGCTCCACACAGCTGTGACCTTGGGCTGGATGTGCAAACAGGACAGGACCAAAGGGAGCACAGGGCAGTTTGTAACAGCTCTAAGGGGTCTCTGTGCAGGATTGCCACATACTTGCACCTGCCTCAGCCCTTTGTGCCAAGCAAAAGAGCCACAACAAGGACACGGGATAGGGAAGTAGGATGGAAAGTAAATTGAAGCTCCAGTGGCCCCAAGGTCCACACAGGGCTGCAGGAGTGCCACCAGGAGTTAGAAGCTAGCCGCAAGTCTCAGCTGCCATCACAGAGCACAGCTGTCCTGTGGGCTCTGGACCCAGATTTTGCCTACAGGGCAGAAACATCATTAATGGGTTGAGCAAGCTCAGCTGCTGCTTTGGGGAAATGGGCGTGATCCATCATAAAGAATCTTTAACTTCCTCTTCCTAGAAAATTCATGATCAACAGGAAATCCAAGCTTTGCATGATACTTCAGCAATGCTTTTTCAGGAAGATGTCAGAACCAAATTAACTGTCTGCCAACCACAGATGTACAAGCTTTCCACAAGCAGTGGCTTTATTAAAAAACAAACGAACGAACAAAATATGACTAGGTAATGTTTTCACTGTGTTTCCCATCAGGCACAGAGATGCATCTGTATGTTCCTACAGAAGCTGTGGGGAAAGAATAAGCATTGCTGGCCTTCTGGAATTCAGGCACATTCATGTGTGCATGTCTCTGTTCACACACAAAACTTTTGGCATGGCATAGATGGCAAGTTTCAACTATAGCCTTTGTGGTTAACAAAACCTCATTTGCTACTATGGAAAACTAAGTCTCCAGGCAGAGCTATTAGTTTAATATAAGATCAATAGATGTGTGTGCTTTAGGGTTTTTCCCCCCTTTCAGCAGGTTCTGTACTACACAGGCTCTCTTTTACTAATCCATTTGATTTTGTGTAGCAAGGACTAAGTGCCATGCCAAAATTTATGAGGTACAGTCCAGCCAAGCAATTCTTCATTCTCAACGTGTTGTCTCCTGTCCATTACTTCAGCTCGTGGCAAGAATTTCTGATGTGCAAACATCCCTTTAGGGCACTTGTTCACATAAACTGCAGTATGTCACTATTTCTGGAAACCTTTGAGCAGCCCCCTGTGATCAGGTGGTTGTGTTTTCCTAGAACAAACAAGTCTGTTTAGACTTTATCCTGTGGAATTTCAGGTTGTAATCAGAGGTCCTGTCTGCTGGACATTTCTGTCCTCATAGCAGGTTCTGGCCACACCTAACTCCATCCTTAATTATAGCCTGACTAGAACTCAGAAGAGGAACTGAAGTCAAGCCTCCATGTTACCCTTCATAACTCCCTTTTAGAACTTTTTGACCTTACATGAAAGGCTAGTATTAGTGTTTGTGAATACCCAGGCTAATGAGGTAAACATCAGTATTCACTATAGCGCATCTCAGGTCATTTTATCCCTGACTATTTTTGTCTCTTATCTCACAAGCCTGGCAGGCATGCTGTCTTTACATTCATGTGTGTTAGGACAAAGCAGCAACAAGTCATTCAGTTGTGGATCAGCAAGTGGAACACTTGCAATTACTGTACAACACTGATGATACTTTTCCTGGGACATAATACTGAAAGCAGAGACTAGACCTTCAAATAAATCCAAGTTCTTATATACCAACACCTCTAATTACATGGCATAAGCATAGAGGTTTCTTCGAGTATCGGACCTAGAATAATAACTAAATCCAGGTGTTTTTACTATCTGTTACTTAGATCTTTAGTTTCCTTTTGGGAATACTTTCTCTTTTTTTGAGAAGTGATATTACTGATTCAGAACAAAATGCTTTAGCGTTGTTCTTCTGGTTTGCACCTCTCTCCCCGCATTCACAAAGCACAATGCTAGGGATACTTTGAGCAAGACCTCTCAACAGCTGATGCATTTCTGTGGTGTCACAAAAGTGCTAAATAGCATTAGTCTCAGATCTCTTTGTCCATGGCAGACTACATTTCAAGGCACGCAGTGTGCTGTAAAAGGTTAATTTCTGCTCTGGCTGGCAGGCAGGCAATAAGATGTTTGTGACACTTCAATCTCTCTTAACAGTGTTTGAATCTGTCCATGCCCACCTGCTTTTCAGTCTACACTTGTTAAACACCCATTTTGGTCACTAGCTGTTGTCAACAGGCTGCAGTCATTTAATCCCAAATGCTGACCTATGACTTTGGCCTTCCTTATCTATTTCACCCCTTTTCTAAACAGCTGTGAAGCAGTTTGCCCCAGTGTGGTTGGTGGAGGCTTGACTGTTTTGAGGGGTTTTTTTGTTTGTTTTTGTTTTGAGTCTGACTTAACCAAGTTCCTCACATGTGCTAACCCAGAGTAAGAATTTCACTACAGAAGACTACTACAAACTCACAATGCATCTCAACAACAGTTTCAAGATGATGTAGTAAGTAACAGTTTTTAAACTATTGTTTGCTTTTGTTTTTTCAAAAATGGTAGATTTTATTTTTTTTTTGTTCTCTCAAGCTCTTGGGCTTATCCTATACTGAGTATGTCCACCAGTCCTCATGTTTGAATATACAGAGCAGTAGGATCAGGACCCCACTTTTTCTCAGCAGCCTTAAAGGCTTTCAAGGGCAGAAAGACAGGCCAGATAAAGAGGTTTGATAGGTCCTTCCTAATGAATGGCACTGAACAACTGGGCATAAGTACACCTGCAGCAATTCAGGACTAGAAGAGTTGTGCCAGCCAGAAGATGCTTCCACACTCTGCTACCCTTCATCAGTGTAGGAGTCTTTGGCAAAGCAGGGAGTGCACTTCTAGCACACAAAAGTCAAGAATACGTAGAAGGAAAAAGAGAGTCTCTGCTGTGCACAGTGTATTCATGAGGAGAGGTATAGCCAAAACAATCTGGAAGCATCAGAAACCCCAACCCATATTACTGCATTTAGGGGTCCTAAGCAGAACAGCACTGGAATGTGCTGCCTTTTCATAATACCAGCCTTCAGTGTGTGTCAAGGACCATTCTAGCTCAGGGAACATTTAGTCTACTCTGACCTGCTGCCAGACAGTTCTGTTCACAACTTGTGAGCCTCAACAGCCACATCATGCTAGATAGAAGCCTCTTTCTCCCGTTGATGAGCTGTACTATCATTTAATTCCTGGTGTTATCCTAATAAATCTGAGGGCAGTGGAAGGGGACATCCAGGTTGCTGAAGCTGTATCACTTGTACCAGCTGCCTTACCAGGGGAGCCAACAAGGCTGCAGGTGAAGGATACTGAAGACTTCTGAAAGATGTGGGAGAACAGATTTCTGCCAGTCAGCTTGATTAAGCCAAAAAAGGTGAAGCAATACTAGAAGTTCCCTATTACCCTCCACATCCAAAGTTCCTTGAAGAGGAAGCTTGGGGGCAGGGCAGGCCCCACCACCCTGTGGATGCATGTGCATTGAAGCCAAGGAAGTCTCCCTTTCTCTGTTTTGAAGAGTTGCATGTGTCATTTATCTTCTTCCACCGAGTGCAAGTCAAGAGGATCTGTTCCACTCCACACTCCTATAGTGCTCACAGTCAGAGAAGTCTTTACTCACCCTTGTTTATTTATTAGAAAAACCCTACAGGTCTACGCATTTAAAAGGAAGCATTAGTTACATGGAATACATGCCCTCAAAGTCCAGAAGTTGCAGGATATACTGCAAAGGTGGGCTGGGGCCAGCAGTGACCCAGTGACCTCTGCAGATGATGCTGGTATGGCTGTGAGACACTGGCAGGGCAGTTGCAATCATGATCCAACCTTCTCAACATAGTTAGCAGGATAAAGTCCAACTTGGCCAGTGAGAAGTTGACCCTTGCACCAGCCTTGCTCATCTTCCTCACTAATCTTCATTAGTTCTTCACCTAAAAGCAAAAACAGTCATTAGGAAACAGTCTCAAGAAAGGTAGCATGTCTTTTTTTCCCAGCCTCAGAAGATCTGACAAAAAGCAGGACCTATTGGTCTGATCATCACTTTTCTCTCCTTATCACACTCTGTATCATACTGCACAGTTTAATCAAAGCCAGTGTTAGTGACCTCTTCAGTATCTATGCTCAGTACCACCCCTAGGCCAAGGACCTTCACTTCCACTGTTCAACATCAAAAATATTTTTGTGCCTCCTCTCCTCTCTCCACCCCCCCGCTCCCCCCAGGAACGTGCTTATAAGCCAGAGAGATCAGAACAAATCTCAGATATTTCCTCAGCAGCTCCTCTGTAGCAGACGGGAAGGAAATGTAAGAGGCTGCTAAGCTCTGGCTGTTAGGACCCAAAATGACTGTTCCACGATGGAGTGTCTGGTTTGACCAGCAAGGCACAGAATCAACTCACTTCTCAGACTATGACTAGGAAGGGCTTTTAACCTTACCATGTCTACTTTGGGGGAAGGGCAAAAAGGTCCCCCTTCTCCACTAGTAAAAGGTCATACTTCTGCCAGAGAGGGTGGTCTGACTGCATCAATAGGCACCTCCCACACTGTCAGAGGCTCAGAAAGTCATCTGCTGTTAAGCTTAAGCTCTACTGGTACATGCTGCTCAGAGCAGATTCAAAAAGGGAATGACTAAGCTAACCAGTCATGCCTCATTACATCTGCTGGGTGGAAAGAGTCAAGTTCTAATGCACCCATATTGTAAGATATTTTAAAGCGACAAGTCAGTGTTAGGAAGTTTACTAGTATGGTAACACTGCAGCATAGATACTGGCCTCAGGCACAAGCCCCTGCTACTGAAGGATTTCAGTGCCTTTTTAAAACAGGTGTTTTTTTGGAGAGGTATAGCAGAGATACCATGTAAGACTGAAAACAAGCAAGACCAGAGACACTCAGTTGAACTCTGCCTTCACTAGTGCATATCAGTCAGCTGAGCTTTATACCAAAAATCTGTCTTCTGGTTACTTCAAAGGACAATCCATACCACCTAGATAATTTTTGTATTGATGGCACAAGGGAGAAGCATTTAATAAAGTCTCACGATACAAAGCAGAATAAATGCCTTAAGAGGAGGCAGAAGGGATCTGTTTTACTCTCAGGGTCTGCTCTCCCTGCACTGTGACCAAGGCCTAGGCAGTCTTTTTGTGTGGCCTGTCTCTTAGTCCAGAACAGGTTGGACTGACCAGTGTATCATCCACCTCAGAGGAGCTGGCAACAGGTCAGGCCAGGGGAAGAAGCAGCATCAGTTTTCAAGGGGACATCCAGTTCTTAAAGTGTTTCAATCATTCAGTCATCCCAAGTGAGGACAGCAAAAGGTTAGTAAGAGGTTAGTGTTTCTGTACCTGCTTTAAAGCTCAGCTCATCAGCCTCCTGTCCTGTGTAATCATACAGTGCTCGTACCCGTACACCTGGTACCTTTACGTCCTCATGCCCATTGGCATCCAGGCACTTCTTGGGAGTGTCCTCATCTGACCATTCCAAAATGTCTTCCTTCCCTCCACTTTGCATGTGGAAGGAGAGAGGGGACAAGATAGTTGTTAGTAGATTCATATCTCACCCACCTCTTTCTGAATCATGCACCACTCTGACTCCTCCCCAAGACTGCTATGCTATAGAACAAGGTGCAAGAGGCCCAACAGCCAAGTGAGGGTGAATAGGAAGGACAGATCCCAGGAGATTTGGCTGAAGGCATCCCAGCATTAGAGCCCCAAGGGACAGGACAGTAACTCATTCTCAAAGTATTTTCACACATGCACACTCTTCATGACCTCATCCTACTCTAGCAGACCCTCTCACACAAGGAAGGCGACTCCTAACTGGAAAGCCAAGCTGTGTCCAGAGTTATTCCAACCAAGAATAAGACAGACAGAAAAAGCCATGTCTCCCATCCCAAAGAGATGTCTGGAATGCTGTTTCCCAAGTCAGGAACAAGAGCAGAGGGGAAGAGCAGCAGAGGACAGGCACCTGGAACCCAAAAACCCCTGAAGAGGCTATGTTCCATACTAACTTCATATGGGCAGGTGCCCTCAGGCTGTCATAGAAGAGGCTGTTCTGCTCCTCTTGATAGGAAAACCTGTAGATTGGCAAACAGGGCCCCTGAATCCAATAGACTGAAATACAATAGTGGCCTCAAGACATCTCTACCTCCCCATTCATTTCTGCCTAGTTCACTTAGGCCAGAGTTCACCTTTTAAAGCAGGATGGCTACTGGAACTGTAGAACATAAGTCTCTTCAGCCTCTGCGTTCTCCAGCTTGCTTCCTGGCAAGGGAAGCAGCTATATACAGACTTGTCAGGTGGTACTCAGTATCATGCCGGGGAAAAAAAAAATTAATCTGATGCCTGCATTTAGGAAATGGTACAGCTAACTGGCAAAGCTGCCAGTTCCCAACTCGCCTCACCCTGTCCAGGAGGAAGAAAAATTGGGGAAATGCATGCCAGAATCTCACACAGCATTAGTCTGACCAGGCTGAATCTCATCACTAGAAAGATCATCACAAGAAAGGCACCTTGTGAGACAGTACATACTAGACAGAAAAACCACACAAAATCAAAAGACCCTTTTCTACCCTGTCTTTTCCAGAGTGGCACAGGCAAGGCCACGTCAAGAGACAGGAAGTTAAGGAGGAGATCACTCCTGTCAATCCAACTCATTCATGACCCTGGGCAGGACTGCACTTTTCCTAACCTGATGTATCCCAGACTTCAGCACTTACCTTTGCCTTGTCTGCAGAGGGGTCTGTGAGACAACACCGTCCCGTGTAGGCAAAATGCTGGTCAGCATGACATCATCAGCCATCTTGCCACTCTTTTCCTTCTTGGTGATTGGCCGCTGTGTTTCAAGGGACCATTCCTGTTCAGGGAAAGGCAATGACACCATCAAGCCACTCGGATACAAAAGCTTTGTGCATCTTTTCTGATCAATACAGAAGGACAGAACACCGTGTCATACTTCAGTTGTGGCTGGGCTGGTCAGCCAAATGGTCTCACTCGCACAACGGGCTCACTCCCAAAGGTGCAACAAGAGGGACTGCAAGAAAATTGTAACAGGAGCTTGTTCCAAGGCCTTAAGCACCAACTCCTGTTCTTTAACCTTGCAGCTGGATGGCTGGAGTATTTGCAGTTTGGCAAGGGTGCACATGTCCCTTTGGGCACCAGACACCTTGCAACACAACAAAAATTTTAGAAGAGCCTAACATCCTGAGCCTGCCGAGCAAAGACATGGTCTTTCCAACACCAGACTAGCAATCCACCAATTTCAGTGAAGCAGCTAAGTGTTTGGAAATAGTAATAACATACTCTAGAATGATACATCACCTCAAACTGAGGCCAATTCATCGCCATGCCTGGTCCATGAGTGTTGCGCCACCACTTCAGGTCCTCCTGGTTGTCTGCAGCCATGATGACTTGGTAGAGATCTCGATACAACGCGTGAAAGCTATGACCAGGAACAGACAGAACCACCAGTAACCAAGTCCCTCAGCAGTTTCCCAAAAGCCAAGTAGGAAGGAAGAGCATAACCTCATGCACTATTACACAGCATCTAAAGTCAGGATTAAGGATGCTACAGCAGCACCTGTTCAGCCCTAGGAAAAACAGAGACACCCTTACAGAAGAGTCAGCCTGGCAAATGGGACAGACTTGTTTGGTGTGGCAGTGGCTAACATCTGCCACCTCTCAGCACAGCTCATCAAGTGAGCATTGAAAGCACCTGGCACATTCTTGCACACAGACAGGGAGGTGGCTCATATTTGTTACCTCCACCTTAAAAGTACAGGAGCACAGATTTTTGGCTGCACCTATTTCCCCCACATAACCCCTACTTAAGGCAACTTGTGAGCTATGGTTATTATCTCACAAAAGGTCTCTTTACTCAGGGCAGAATGGGTGTAATAGCTATAGATACTAGAAGGCAACAGAGCTGCATTTCTCAGACTGGGATTACATATAGCAACATGGAGGCATTTCATAGAACAGAAACACACCCACGGGACACTACTGGATAATAATGTAAGAGGAAGGGTTCAGAAGCAGAAGGAATACTCTCTGGGGAGCCTGGCACTGTCCAAGATCAGAGACATTAGCACTGGTAGGTCTAAAGGGACCAAATGCCAGTTCTAAGTCACACTTCAAAGGAGAAGGAGCAAGACCTGGCAGATACAAGCTGGCATCTCCCTTTCACAGACACCAGAATTGGCATGCCTCACTGGAGCCCAGGGCACCCCAGCGTGGCAGAATTGCCTCCTGTGTCAGGGCTGGTACCTTTCACTGGTGGAGAGGTTGAGATGCTGGTGCAGATTCAGGAACATCTCCTTAAAGAAGCACAATCGCTTGAGCTCTGCTTCCTGACAGCTCTCAAATACTTGCTCCATGTCCTCCATGTA